CCATGTCATTTTCATAAATTGCTTAACAAATATTCGGTAACATTTTAACTATAATTTCTTGCAATTTTAATCTTAACGCGATTATACTTAAATCTTTAAGAATGTAGTATTGCATTATATGCTTGAAATACTCCAGACGCGACTTCGACGGACCGAGACTTGAGCGATAACTAAAATATAAAATAAAAGATGAAATTTATTAAATTAAAATAAAAACTTATATTTACTATTAACTCCTTTTGTACTATGTTTTAACATATAGAGCTGTATACCAAAATTGAAGCTATATTTCGTACATCTTATGTTTGGATTGTAAGATTCGTTAATAGTTAATAGTAATTATGTAAAGCATATCAAATGTTTCATATGTTATTATAGTACAAAGGGTTAACATGTAACATAAGAATTAGTTTATATTGTACCGTAACATCAGGATTGCCGGGCTGAATTTTTAATTCATTTAATACCCACACATTATTAGTTAATTTTAATGATTGATAAAGCATATCCTGTCCTTCAACGTTTCTCTTGGCAATAGTGAAGACATTGTTTTGTTGCATCTTTTGTACCACTTGATCAGCAGTCAACATTATTCCACTTAATGTATACTGAACCTAACAATGGAACCAATCTTATTAATTGAAAGACAAAAATTTTGGAAATAAGAAAATTATTCAATCAAGCTAATAGAAATAACCTCATTTTGGGCAGGAATATCTTTCCAAGTTGAAAGAAATACTCTTTTGTCTAGTTGTCCGTCTTCAGTAAAATATACGTTCATAGGGACTAAGCAAGCAAAGTAAAATACATCAATATTATTCTTTATAGCGACTTGTAAATTATTTAAAGGTTCCATGCGTTGCACTGCTCCTGCCGTGGATAAAATTACATTGGTTTCAATGCTAGCTCCTGGACCTAAAGGACTTGGTACTTGCAACGGTGCTGCTGGTGTCAAACCAAAACTATTCTTATTAAGTTGAATGGCAAATCCTCCCATAGGTTGCATTGCTTTATTTGTAAATGTCATATCCATGCTGATCTGACTATTTCTATTTTAAATAAAATTTAAATAAAATAATAATATCATAATATGTTTCATTAGGTATATTGTGTAATTACTTACTTTCTTGAAAATGTACCCCAGATATCAAAACCTTTACCCTTTTCTGCGGGCAACCAATTAACTTTAGTTGGTATATAAGATGTAGGTCCTTGATTGAAACCGAAAATATCACCCAATAATCCTGTTGTACTCTGAGAAACGACCGGTGCTGCAGTATTTGCCGCTCCATCATTACTACCTAAAATTCCATCTAAACCACCTCCTAAAAGATCTAAACCTAATCCTGATTGCGCAGGTGGTGCTGGGGGTACTATAGTTGGTCCACCTTAAAAAAAATGTATTCAAATAGCTTATATTTTCGAGCAGGTAATAGTATTGTTATGTAACTTTTTGAAAAATAATCTACTCACCAATGTCCATACTGAGAAGATCGCCTATTAATGAGTCTTGCGCAAGTATAACTTGAGCATGAGGTTGAGAAGTAGTAGCAGTACGTTGACTTGAATCCTCATTCGAATTACTTCTAGCAGGTAAGGATTTCCTAGCTCCAGCTGCTCTACCTTCTACAAATGCGGTTGGTGGTTTGTGATATACTGATGCTAAACTAGAAATGTGACAGATCAATTCATCTAACAATGTCGGTTCCAATAAATCTGTTTCTTCTGAAATAAGAGGTTTCTCAGCTAGTACAACTTCTTTAGCTGCTGCTGGATCAGTGCTGAGCAACCGCCAATATATAAATCCACGATCTCTCAAATCTGGATTATCTGAATCTTGTGTTGCTAAACTTAGTACTTGTTGTACTAATTCTTGAGTGTCCGTAGGTCTTTTCAAAAATAGTTTGACAATGGCTGTTAACAGTTGTAATTGCACTTGTGTATTTTCATCGTGAAAACCTTCTAGAAAACTTTCTAACAATTCGTCTGCGTTATCAATACGTTCCGCATATTCTCCAATTATCCAAATCATAGAAGCACGTGCTTCTGGTTCATCAAGAGTATCCAAATTTTCGCAGAGTGTTGAAATTATGCTTTCATATTTATTTGGATATTTACGGAAGATATCTTTAATAACGACAATGGCTTCTTGAACTACATAATTAACCTAATAAAAATGAAGAAACGTAATATATATATCGCGACAACTATTACAAAGTTATGATTCTATGTAACAGTAAGATGCATACCTTTGTTTGAATTAAGTCTAGTAACGTAGAAACGCATCGCTCCGCAGAAGGTTCAACTTTTATAGCGCAACGTCCAATGGCTCTAACAGCTTTCCTAACAAAATCTACATCAACTTCTGTAGCATATTCTTTTAGTTCGGATAAAACCTGGGCAATATTGGCTTGCGATGCTAAACGTATCATAATATCCAATTTTTCAAGTTTAACATAAATTGGATCATTATATTTGACAAAGAAAACTTTCATTTCGTGTTTCAATATATCTGGTCTTTTTTGTACAATAAGATTTATATTTCTCAGTGCAACATATTGAACTTCAGGTTCGGAACTGAGCAATGTGACAAGAGGCGGGGCCAACTTTTTTGTAAGAGTACCAACAAAATCGGATTCTGATTGGAGCATTTCCATTAGTTTCATAAGTACCTGAATTTTTTTAATGTAATATTAACTGTTAATTTGGTATAAAAAATAAAATTTAATAATTATCTTTATCTTAGAAAATGCATAAAAAAATCTACCTTGACGGCAGATAGAACAACTGCAGCATTTGCATGCGCCAAACGTGGAGTAATACGTTCACAAATGCTTTGAGCTTCACGATCATCTTTTGGTGAATAATTAGCGAGTGAATCTAATATAAAAACTTGACCCCATTCTGTGCATTCATTAAGAGCTGTGAGAAGTTTGTTAATAGTTTGAGCATTCATTTCAACTAAAGGTTGTCCGCTAGGACTAGCTTCATTAATTTCTGACAATGCAGCCACTGCATTAGCAACAACCTATTGATAAATAAAAGGTATGATAGAAATATATATGAAAATTAAAAGAACAATATTAATAAAATTGCATTGTCTTTCTTTTTTTTTCTAAATTGGTATGGATTTACATACCATAGGATTGCTATCAGATAAAAGATCTTTTAATTGATCCAAAAATCCTTGATCCTCAACTAAAGCAGCATTAATGTCGTAAAGCTTGGCAACGCATACTGCGGCCGTTTTACGAACATATGGATCTTCGTCCTTAAGACATTTTCTTAACGGCTCGCAAAGGTATTCAGTGATCTTGTCAACACGTATGCACCCCATTGTACGAACCGCTAATGCTCGAATCAGTGGATTTGGATCTTCACAGTCCTGCGCAAAAATCGGGCAAGCCAGGGATTCAAGTCTAGTCACAGCAGTGGCTATCTATCTCAGTCCATGAATTTAAACAAAATAGAAATTGGTATGGTACCTTTGTCATCGGAGATGTCGCTAGCTCCTTTTGCGTGTCAGAACGAAAAAGGTCAAATTGGTCACCGTCACCATTTTTATTAATAGTTAAATTATTATACTTATGAACCATGTAATAATGTAATATTACACAGAACTGATCATTTTTTAAAGAGCACGAGATATATTTATTACGCTTTACTGTACAAATTTTTTTTATATTTCAAGTTGAAATATTAAAATATGTATATATACATATATATGCATATATATA